TCTTCAAATCCAATAATAGTGGGTCAAGTTCTACTCATTACCATACCACTCTGACTTCCACTTCTGTGGTTAAATCTTCATATGCCTCCTCTTTTCTGACTCACTCTTCCACTCTAATGGTAGGTTTGTTCCTTCTGGATAATCCATGATAACTTCCCTACTCTAGGTAAGCACTCTGAGTTCTACCTCCAATCTTAATTCTAGTAATACAATTTGTACCCTTACTTTTCACAGTCTTCTTAGAGTAAATATTGTATTATTTCACATAAAAAACAACAACAACAGTTTAATTCTATTTACAGCCTCTCCCTTCATCATCCTTTGTGGTATTATTGCCATATATTTTTGCATCTATATATGTTATAAACCCCATAATACAGTGTTATGTTTTTTGCATTAGAGTCAGGTTTTTAAAAGAAATTAAGAGAAAAAATATTCATCTATAAATTTACAGTTTCCAAAGTATTTCATTATTTTTTGAAATCCAATTTACTTTCTGATGTTATTTCTATCTGAAGAAATTCCTTTAGTATTTCTTGTGGCATAGGTTTGCTGGCTTTCACTCATCAAAAAAATCTTTTTTTTCAAACTTTCATTTTAAAAGAATATTTTTCTATATAGAAAATTTTGACTTGACTTTTTTTTTAGTCCTTTAAAGATGCTGTTTCATTGTCTTCTGTCCTCCATTGTTTCTGATGTCAAGTTAGCCATCATTTGTATATTTGTTCTCTATGTGAAATGTCATTATCTGAATACTTTTGAAGATTTTCTCCATGCTTTTTATTCTCAACAATTTCCCTATTATGTCCAGGTATGATTTTCCTTGTATTTATCCTTCTTAGGGCTTGCCTGACTTCTTGGTTCTGTAAGTGACTTTTCCACCAAATTTGGGAGACTTTCAGCTTCAGTTTCTTCAAAAAAGCCTTTTGCTCCATTCTCTCTCTCTTGTCCTCTGGATTCTAACTGTACAGATATTACTTGATATCGGCAATGAGGTTGCTGAAACTGATAATTTTCTTCCCAATATTTTTTTCTGTTCTTTAATTGTATAATTTCAAATGATCTGTATACAAGTTCACTAATCCTTTCTTCTGTAGTTTCCAGTTTCTTACTAAGCCTAACCAGTGAGACTTTCAATTTAGTTATTCTTTTTTTTTTCACTTTATTTGGTTCTAATTCTAAGGAATTAGAATTTCATTTGGTTCTTTTAAAATGTATATTGTTTCCATGTCACTGCTAATATTTCCCTATGTATTCACTCAATATGGACATTTCCCCTTAATTGTTTGAATATTTGCAATAGCTTCTTTAAAATCCTGGTCAGCCAATTTTATTATCTGAGTCATTTCAGGGTTTCTAGTTATTGCTCATTCTCTTGGCCAAGGGCTGCACTTTCCTATTTATTTCCATGTCTAGTAGTTTTTAAATTCTGTACTGGAAAGTGTGGATGCTATGTTGTAGAGACAGAACAGTGTTGGTTTTGAATCTAGCTGGGAGTTGTGAATTATGAGTGGCTGACCTTGTTCTTGTGACAGCTGCAGTTTAGACTTTGTTAGGGTGAGTCTGTTTTGGTTACACGTTAGACTTAAGGCAAATCTTCAGTCCTGGGATGTAGACTTTACTCCTGAGGCATAACTCTTTAAGTTTTTACTGGAAAGCACAAGATGTTTATCAAGCCCCTCTAAATTTGTGAGATTCAGATTCCAGTCTCTGTCCCTTATGTGGCAGAGAGCAGCTGAAATCTCTGTTCAAACTTTTCAGGCTTCCAGCTGTTGTTTCCTACCAGACTCCTTAGAGTCTCCCTTAAATATGCACATTCTAGGAATCACACAAAGATTTGAAAGGAAGTTTGTATGCATATTTGAGGTTTTGCCCCATAACTCCTTTCTGAGCTTTCCACCTTCTGACTCCTTTTTCCGATACCTCAAACCAGTATGACCATGTATTTCTTTTGAGTTTAAAGCCATCTCATACTGCATGGATTCTTATGTAACCACAAATATCACCAGTGTTAGTCACTTCTTTCAGATTGAAGAAGTTCCTCCAACTTTTGTTGTCTTTTGATCACTCTCATGTGTGTGTGTGTGTGTGTGTGTGTGTGTGTATGTATTTATTTATTGTCCAGATTTATCACTGATATCTGACACAGGCTACTCCATCATTCCTGCAATTGGAACTTCATATCACTAACTCTTTCCAGGTTTTCTGTACGGGTTGGTGAGCAGTACCAATCATCAAGTCATGTATCTCAGTCCTGAAAATCCAAGAGCATGAAAGTCCAAATCAAAATAGTCTAACTATGTAGATTTATTTATTTATGACTTCAGACTTGGAATTCTGGTTGTTCAAGCTTCAAGCTCAACATCCCAGTATTGAATCAATTCTTTTGGCTACCTACAGATAGACGTATGTTGACAAATTCTATGCTCCTTTTCCTTCCTGACAATGACTCTTAATATTCTTTATATTATTAAGAAATTTTCACCTCAGCATTTCACAGGGTTAGAGAAACATGGCATTTGGCTTTAGTTTTCACTGAGTCCTCCTGGCCAGGATTTCTTGGAATTGTTTAATGACTATTCCAAGTCTTGACTGAAAACTATGGCTTTAAGGAATAAATGGTAAATTCCAGGTGCTACTTGTTGTCCCCAAATGAATGCTGATCCTGGAGCCAAAGGAAACACAGCCCCCTGCCTGTTTTGGGGGTATTTTTAGAATAGTTACAAACACATGATATTTATCTTGAGAGATGGCCAATATTTTTAAAATAGCTATTAAACAAACTGTATTTACAAAAAAACCCTGTATTTCTCTTTTATAAAAAAAAAATACTGTACTCATTTCATAGCATTTGTACTATGGAGAGTGCTTGAATAGAGGAGAAAAACTTTCTCTGATCCCTCCCTGTCAGCCATGATAATTGAGCAAGCCTTTCATTCTTACCCATTAATTTTTGTACACTGATCTCATTATTTCTCCCTATAACCACTACAAATTCTTCACTCTTTAGTCTTTATGCTACATCATCCAGATAGCCTTTGGTGAGGGTACTGAAGAGGATTTGAATTTCCTCACTAGAATATAATACTTTCAGTAAAGGATCACTGCCTTGTTACCAAAGCAGTAACAGCTAAGAGAAGCCCTTGGAATGAGACAGATCCAAGTTCAAGTCCAAAGTCTGCCACTAACTGTGTAATCTTTGGTTTTTATACAGCTTTCTCTAAGTTGCAGAAAAATAGAGATAAACACAGTCCTGACCTAATTTGATTATTCTGAGGATCAGATAAGGTAAGTCACATAAAGGTTCTTGCTACATTGTTATTATTATTGTTGTTGTTATTTTCCCCCATAGTAAATGCCCAGTTGCCTAAATATGCACTTGTTGAACTAAATAAGTGCTGTTCTGGCAAAAGAGAAAACACACACAAATGACAAAAACAAGTGTGAGAAAAACAGTAATTGCAAGTTATGATAATAATACTATGGAAAAATGAGCTAAGAAAGAAATTAAAAAGGGAATATATTTTAGATAAGATAATTAGGGAAGGCCTCTTGAAGGAGGTAACATATAAGCTGAGTCTTAAGAGATGAGAAGGAGTCAAGTATCCAAAAAATGAAGACAACAGCATTTCAGGCAGAGGAAATGGCAGGTACAAAGTTCCTGAGGCAGATATGCCTGTGAGCTGTCTACAGACTGAAGGACCTCACCAGTGTGCTGTGATAGAGTGAGGGCAGGATGTCACTAGATGCAATCAGAAGGTAGCAGAGGCCAAACACAAAGGACCTTGTAAGCCAAAGCAGAGAGTTTGGCTTTTGATCTGTGTGCAAAGGGAAGGCATTGAGGGGTTTTAAGCAAGGGAATGACGAGATCCTTAGGCCCACTCAATCCATGACTCACAGAAACAAACTGAAGGAGGATAAGAATTTTTGGAAATATTTGGAACTTGTTTACAGAAACTAAAAGTATAAATGCAGAATACAATATTTTCCACTAGGTTAAAGTTATTGATTGCCAACAACCAAAAATTCTTTAGGAAAACTTAATAAAGATTTCATCCATTTCTCCTTCTTTCATAACTGTCATGAATCCCAAGGGAGTCTGAGAATCACTAAAAAATGAAAGATAGACAAGAGCAGTAAACGTGGTAGGCAGGCAGGGTGAGAATAACTGAGAATGCTGGTCACAGTAGGCGGCTCTGAGGGCCCAAAGTGGAAGCATGTGTCTGAGCTGTTAATATCACATTAGATGAGAGCTGACTTGGAAGATGCTGTGGGATAGATTTTTAACAAAAAGGATGGGCAAGATAAGGTGGGTGAAATACTGTGAGATGCTGGGCATTTCAGCACAAATGCCACAAGGAGACAAAGAAAATTCAAATTTATATACTTGATGATTATTTCATAAGTCAAGCTACCATTAGAGTGGCAAGTCTTTGCCATTACAAGATTTTTTTTCCTGGCAATTATTAGGGTTTTTATCCTCTCTTGAAACTTCTCTCTCTCTTTCTCTCTTTACCTCTGTGTGTGTGTGTGTGTGTGTGTGTGTAGTTTTTTTACTTGCTTCATATTAGTGACTCTCTTGGCACTAATTAAGACCACTGCCATAAATATAATGAAGTGTTTCTATTCCTGAATGATAGTAATTACAGCTATTTACTCTTTTAAGGAATGTTATTCCCAAAGAAAAGCTCAGGGGGAAATGGAGGCATGCTCAAGTTCCCCTTACCTGTTCACTGATGACAGATTAGTTAAAAGTATACATAATAGCTGAGCTTTCCAAAATGTGCCACTAGGTTTGTTTGTTTATTTGTTTCAAAAAGTAAAAGAAAATTTTATTATTATGAGGTAGCATGTATCATAAGGACAGCTTTGGAGTTAGTTTTAACTTTTTTCTTAGAGGATGAAGGATAGCTTATTAAATGTCAGCTGTAAACAGGACTACTCATCTTTCATTTCATAGCAACTGATAATAAGTAAGAGCAAAAATGGTGAATACCTACTGTTGCCAGGTAACTGCATCCACTGTGCTTCCTGCCACCTTCATGAATCTGTAAGGAATAGAAAATACAAAGATATTGCAACTCAAATTAAACCATATCCCCAGGGTTAAAATAAAATAAGCTGAACCATAGATCAGGCCAATCCTTGGGCATCGATCCTTTCTGAGAGGGTCCACAACCATGGCCTATCCATAGCTACTGGAAGTTAAAAGGTACAGAAGGTGAAGGTAATCACACTTTCAGTTCTCCACACATCCTTTGCCACTTGGAAATCAAGACCTCAAGATGGCATTATACCTATGTCTGTCTTTCCAATCCCATGCCTGATGGCACCCACATTGCTTTCCCTGTAATCAAAACTTATCTGTTCCATTTCCTATTCTCTAAGGACTCTGAGATCCACTAGGGAACAAATGATAACATTTCCCAAGGATGACAACACAACAGATGCCTTTGAAAAACCTCAGGTCTCCTTCTACAGAGAGCATATGAAAAGCCAGTTTATTTATACACCTATAAAACAGTATCTAATGTGCCCCAATGATGGGCTGCCATATCTGTCTGAGCGTAGAAACCTGAGCACCACATAGAGAAATCTAACCATTTCTGGAGCAGCTGACTAGAGAACTCCATGTCATCCAACAAGCACGCTCAGCTCAAAAGGGAAATTAGACATGTTTCCCTGAAAAGCACTCAGCAAAGCCTTGCTAGCAATTCTCCACCCTCTTGTGGCCCTGAGGGCTCCACCAGAAACTCAGGGCCAGAAGGCAGCATCTGAGGCCATACAGATGCCACAGCGCATCATAAATTGCAAGCCTGTGAATAACACAGTTACTTCCCTGCCTCCTTCTCCTAGCCATCCATATATTCTGAGGCCATGTGCTATCATGGCTATTGTTACTATTTGAGAGAGTTATCACTCAGACGCAAGAAATCAAAAGGAATATCTCAGTTCTTTCTGGTAGTACTTTCAATTCTCTTTCCTGAGACCCTGGAAAGGAACTTTTCCTCAGACAGAAACAATCTTCAATCAGTACTTCATAAACAAAGAACTCTTCCACTGGAAAGGGGGGTGGTATTTTGTCAGGAAGACCCTATCCCTGCCCTACCCCAGCCTAGTCTTGCCAGGCGGATATGTGTCCAGACAGAGGCTCTATCTTGCCCTGATGGTAAAAGAGGACTGAGTCCCTGCAGGACTGGGTGAGAGACAGAGGGAGGATACCAGGACTACCACTTAGCAGCAGAACGATGCTCATGAAAGAAGACAAAGAGGAAGGAGAGGAGGAAGACACTGGGGGTGGGGGGGAGGACGAGGAAAAGGGAGAGGAACATAATGAGGTGAAGGAGAGGAGAAAAGGAGATGAGGATGGGGAGGCAGCTTGGTTCTTGTATGTATGGTTTTATCTTTTTTTTCTCCAGTACTGCTCAGCAATGCAGGAGCAAGAACATGGGAAATGGAGCATGGGGGTGATCACAGAATGGAAATGGTTTGCTGGGCAGGACCAAAACATAAATGGGGATTGGAGGGAATGTAACATTTACTGAGTACCTACTTAGTACCAGCCATTCTTATGCATTTATTTTATATAATTCTCAAAATTGCTTTGCTTGGTGAGGTGAATATTATTGATCCCATTATACAGATTACTAACTTCCTTATTGGCTAGGGAAGCAGTATTTCTAGACAGCCCCAAAAGCCCATTTTTAATGGGGTCATGCCACGTCTCCCAGCAGCACTCCCTCTAATTTTGGAGCCCATGGATTTCTCTATCTTTTCTCCTCTCCTTTCTCCAGCCAAGGAAAATCTCTTGAATCTAGGGGGGTAGCTCCACTCTCCTCACTATTTCTAGCCCTGCCCAGGATTCCCCCTTTAAAATTCAACAGCCAGAAAGGCTTGTGCATTCTCCTCTCCATCCTGCCATGAGCCACCCCTGAGTCAATAAATATGCAACCAGCTACCTGCTTGAATGGAGAGGTGGAAAATAGAAAAGTCCAGGGAGAATGAAAACGTATTAGTATCCAAAATACTATCCCTGCCACATATGCATTCTAAGCTGTGGAGCCCTGATGGTAAATTTAGAAGAAAGATGACCCAAAAATTAAGAGAGGGAGATGAAATTTTGCCCTCCTCCCCCAGGATATTTTAAAAATTAGAAAATGTAGTCAAACTTAGATACAAGTGTTATACACACACACACACACACACACACATACACATTTGTATATATATAAATTTACACAGGCTTTATGCCTTCAAAATGATTTCAAAGAGCTCTGAAGTATAAAACTGTCTTTATTTATATATAAAAATAACCATATGAAAATAACACAACATTAACAGTGCTTTTTCATTAAAATGTTTTTTCAGCTTCCTGTGTGTATAATTTCACATAATCCTCAAAATAGCTCTGGTAGGTAGATATTCCTAATTCATAGTGAAGGTGGCTAAGTCTCATAAAGGTTATATGACTTGTTCAAATTCATAGAGATAGTGCAGACTAAACTCAGGTTCTCTGATTCCAAACCCTATGCTGCCTCCAAGCTATTTTCACTGAGGCCAAGAAGTACAGTACAACTCTTAAGATGCAGAAAATAAGCTGAATTTTCCCCTTGAGAAAATACTACTACCCTGTTTTTCAGAAAAAGCAAAAAGGCCCGAGCACCTTCTTTGCTTATTGGCATCACAGACTTCAGCATTTCAGTGCTATTTGTAAAACAATGTGCTGGAGCAGGTGTCCAAAGGTGACTGACTTAGGGCTTCTGTTACAAGACAACCAAGAAGACAGACAAAGACAATTAGCTATCAGAGTCTGTGTGCTACACTACTGGCACAAACTGCTGTGGGAAAGAAGTCAAGGAAATAGCTAGCTCTACCTTCCATGATATTAGAAGAGGATAAACACTGAGTAAAGATTCATATTGCACTTGATGTTGAAACTGGCATTGAAAGAAGAGTAGGATTTTGCCATGAAGAGCAGGTCAGGCAAAGGAATAGCTTAAGCCAAGCAAGGAGGAGGCAAGGTGAATGTTTTCTCATGCATCCATGATATCTGGATGTAAGGGGACAAGTAAGGGAGTGGTAGGAAGTCAGACTGGTCAGGTGCTAGCCTGTGATGCTAACATATCTGGCCTTTATCCCTTAACACCTTAGTACAAGTCCAGGTCTTATTTATCTTTGTATGACTAGTACTCAATGCAGTATTATAAAATACATCTAGCTCCTCCTGCATGTTGGATTTATTGTGTTTAAGCAAGTGAGGAAGTGTCAAGATCAGACTTCAGTATTAGGAAGATCACTCTTGCTACGGTAAAGGTGAAAGGTACTAGTGTGGAGAAACTGGCAGGAGATGACTGCAGAATGATGGGAGGCTTTGAAATGTCAGAATGAAAAAAAGCCACAACTGAAAAAACACTGTTGGAGAGCTCAAGAGGACTGGTGGATGACTTTAAGTGGGGGAAAGGGTGTAAGAGAGAACCCCGAAGCTTTAATGGCAGTAATGCAATTGCCCGAGATGGGTAATCCAGGGACAGACTTTTGATGCTGATGTTGGTGAATATATTCCAATCCTGAAAAATGTCTCGAAGAACTTGAAGTAAATTGTCATTGATGATAACAACTATGCAGTCACAAGAAAATTCAGAGAAAAAAAATCATCAATGACTTGTTTGGCTAAAAGGCTCTGGACAGCCATTTAAAAACACATCTAATTTGGTGTCTTAGAAGTTGGGAACTTGTCCTTCATGAAACTGTAATCTGGAGATCTGGTGAAATGGATATCCTCATATGCATTGGGTGGTTTGTTCTGCTACAGATTGATAATTAAAACTTTAAATAACCTTCCATTATCAAGAGTTATCTTATAAAAAGAATGAGAAAACTAGAGTTAGGAACATGTAAAGTAATGCTAATGTTTACTTCCCACACCTCTGCCCCACCCTCAAAGAAAATCTATAATTAAATATGAAACATACTGAACCCATATATAGAATATTATATAGTTTACAGAGAAATATTTTTAATTGAATATAGGAAAAGACCTACCATGATCCTGGATAAGAAAATCAGCTATTCTTCCTAAACTAATTTACAGTTTAGTGAAATTCTAATTAAAAAAAATGTCAGCAGATATTTTTGAAACTTTACAAAATCACTCTAACATTCTGACAGAAGCCAAGAATGTTCTGAAAAAATTGGAATAATGAAGGGACATTTATTTGATCTACATACATTGAAATATACCATAAAACGTGCAGTTATTAAAACATTCCTTAGGAATTAGTAAGGAGATTTTAGGAATTAGTAAAGAAATAAAGAATTAGTAAAGAGATCTATGGAACAAAAGAGATTTTTAAAACTTATATATAAGAATTTATTACATGGAAGAGAATTTAGTATATGAAAAACTGAAGCATGTTTTTACGGGTGCTATGTGATTTGTGGCTATCTGGGAAAAAAATTAAAGTCAGATCCTTACCTATATAAGAAATCAAAACAGTAAAATGTAATTTAGTTTCACTATAATATTTAAAAATATTTCAATCACAATTTAATGTGTTAAGACAAATGATATTATTATCTTAACTTTAGAAGTATATTTAAGCAGTAGAAAAGTTGTTTTAGCTAACTGAGGAAGAAACATTATCAAATATGTGTTCACATAAAAGTTGCTGTGCACTACATTCTTCCTTTTTCCCTCAGCAAAATGATAAGAACAACTTCAAGCATATGGAAGTATTTCTACATTTATTCTGAGGAGGAAAAATCTAATTCACAAATAATGTCAAACAAAATATGCACTTCCAAATACTAGCAGGATGACTTAATATATCCCTGTTTTTTGAGAAGTATATAAAACTCACCTAAAATGGGGCAAATGTTCTGTTTACAGAAGTCTTTAAATGATTTAAAAAACCAGAAAAATAAAAAAACAAGGACAAAAATAACACTTACAGGAAACTTATTAAACAAAACTTCAAGGAATAGATATTATAGGCAATGAATTTGGTGAATTTTCCCCACCTGCATGCTCTCTCCCTGAAAATTAGGG